GGCTTCCACTCTTGACCAATCACAAAGCACTAAGGCACACACTATCCTTTACAGTGCTTAACTCTTAAACGGCTTCCACTCTTAACCAATCACAAAGCACAAAGGCACACACTATCCTTCACAGTGCTCAACTCTAAAATGGCTTCCACTCTTGACCAATCACGGAGCACAAAGGCACACATGACCCATCGGGCAGTTCATGACTCTTAAATGGCTTTCACTCGAGAAAATTAAAGCCATATCTAGCACTCAAAGTCTCCATCCAAGAACGAAGGAGTCATGATCACTATCCTCGCTATCTGAAACATCTCTCATTGTCCTTTGCTTAGCTGCTAATATTTCCCTACAAAGTCTACATTGTTTCTTTTTATCTTGTTCATCATTAGCGCTATTATTATTCGCCGTCTGGAGTTGCTCGCGTTGTTCTTTGCTCAAACTCTTCATTAAAGAGTAAATATTCGCTGTAGCCGACGCGACGTACGTCCACGACAACACACTGACAGCGTACTGTATCATCACGTTCGACGATGACAAACTCTCTCTATCCAAATTGCACAAAAACATCACTGGACCCCTCGTGCTGTCCCCATAGCACCTAAACAAACCAGCAACACCTAACATGCCCATAAACATCTTATAAAATAGCAGGGATAGTACAAATGATAAGATATTCCAGACGAACCGAAATGGCATGAACAGTATCTTCCATAACAAACGTTCTTTCGTCACGTCCATGGCTGGGAAATGGTGAGTATCGATTCTGACTAGTCTCGCCAAGAATAACGAGTTTATAACTGTTGCTATAATTAGAATTATATATATCCACACATAGTTGGAGGAGCTAAATGTTTTATGCTTTAGGAAAACAACTGCTACAGAAATAACCATGTGTAGAGAGGCGAGGACGGTGAAAAAACCAGTACATTCATGATGAGACACTTTACAACACAGACATTGGGTTCTGACTTCTTGCGCTTCTTCATTCTTCATCCAAGTCATGAATCCTTCTCCATACGAATTGTCGTTTACAACCTGGGTGTTTCTAACTGAGGTGCAATATCTCTCTTGGCAGTCGATCAACTTGTGTTCCTGTAGAAGGTAACGCAGTGCTAACATTACAAGGACAGAATGGCACACCACAACAGCATCTTTTAATACACTCATCCCATCACTTCGTGTAGAGAACGATCTCTTTTCTTCTTCGCAAAAGGTCTTGTTTTCTTCTTATCTTTTCTATAACATAACGCCTTTCAAAACACAAGTAGCGTCATTGAAGACAAAGGTCCAACACGAAAACCACGGGGGAGGGGTAGGTAGGAATTTGTCTCCAAATAATACCCTGACATACTGATTATCTAACTCAACGAAGCATGTTCCTGAGTACATCTGTACTTTGGAAATAAAAGCACATTGGATCCAGAAACATCGTCTTGAAAAGAAACAAATTGTAAGGGTTATTACACCGTGGGTATCCTCCTCGTTGGATGTAGTTGTCGTGTCGGATTGTGTTGTTATGGTAACACCGAATGTACCTGTTACCACCCGCTGTCTCCTTGACAACGAGACGAGTTAAGATACACAAAACATCTCTGGTTTTTAACCATGGAAGCATCGAGATTAGCCTTGATTATGACCAGTAATAACCAGTTTTAGACTTGAATATATAGAGTTTCGCGCGCTGTGGTTGGTCGAGCAACCAGTGATTATAATAAGCCTTTTCATAGTTTAAGAATCGATTCCACTGCGCATGCGATTTTATCCCGAATTTCTCACCTTTTGTTTAATTAAGAACAAAAGAAGGTTTAGACCGACCCGCGGCTCGGTAAATATTCACTGATCCTAGGGTCTAGGTCCTCTCGGGATTTGTGTTGTGAAGGGAAATGGGTATGAGTTTATCCTTTTCTGTTCTTTATTTTTTCTTTAAGTTTACTTTTCCTATTCTCTCTTTTTCTTCCAATGATTCCCTTTAATTTCCATTCTTTTTTCTTCTTTCTATTGTTTTTTTTCCCCGATTTTTTTGATTTTATCCTTATTCCTATTTTTTTCCTTTCTCCTCCATCTCCTCTCTCTGCTTTTCTCTTTTCTTTTATTCCCTTCCCTTCCCTTCCCTTCCCTTCTCTCCTCTCCTAAGGTTTGATAATTCAGCTGGAAAACCATTTATCACTCTTCCTTAAATCCTTTCTTGATTCCAGTCATTAGAAGCCTTAGGAGAACCTGTCTATTGATCACCATTATTATGCTAATGACCGAACTTTTCAACAGGAATACATTCATGTTTTTATCCTGACATTTTCTTTCCGGAGTTTCGTTTTCTTCTTTGCTTATCCAGATAAGTGCTTCGAGCGAGGCCCACGTTTCTTTAGCTGAAGGGGATCTTGGCTGTTTCTTCTCAAACCTCCACCAGTGCTGCAAGTACAATAGCAAGAAATCAGCCGAACCTAGACAGCACGAGCAGGTACGTGTATAAAACCAGCCAATAACTCTTTCAAAACACGATATATCTATGACATCAACAATAGTACATTTTATCATTCCATAGTGTACATATTTTTAAATTGTTCCCAAGTTCTTGTAGATTAGAAATTTCATGTAAGGTTTTCTACAAGCTAAATAACAAATTTCTCTTCAGAAAGTTTTTCCCATATCGCTGCTTTCAAAAGCCCATTTGGAATACACTTTGTCAAGATTCAATATTAATTACACGGCTTTTCTAAATATCCTACTTAGAGTCACATGAAGTCGCATTCATATCCACGAATATTCAAGTCCTTTTTTCAYTGATCGAATATAAAATCAAATTAAATTGAAGCAACTTTTAAAATATACTGAGTCAATATCTAGTCTTTTGTTCGCATTAGACATGTTTTTGACCCTTTAAACATTTTGTATGCATGAATTTAAATCACGAATTCATTACTTGAAATGATGGTAACGACGTTCGCTTAAAATAAGTGATTTGTGCTTCTTAACTTCCATGAAAGATAGAGCAAACACATCGGTGACTGGCCAAGGTAATATCTATAAGCAAATTCAGTTTCTTAATTCGATTCAGCATCGACAAAACAATAGTTTTTTGGCTCTTGGAATATTAACAATCTCTCTCTCTCTCTCTCTCTCTCTCTCTCTCTCTTTTTTACACTCTTTTAATGAAGAAAGTATTTAATATTCTAACCTCAGCGACTTGTTGTTTTTCAACGTCTTTATTATATGTATCATTTTTACTATTTAGAAGTCTAGTCAACGGTTTACTGAACCAGACTAGTATGACATCTCGAATTAAAGGTTATTGTCCGTGTGTTGCTGTCTTGGAGATGATGTAAGAAGTAGTCTTAATGAGAGGCTTTTGATACTCTGTTGCCATGAAACCAAAATGAGAGAGAATGAAGACTTGAAAATGAGATTTAAAAGTGACAATGATGATGGTAGTTTTTATTTTCAGTGTTTATATCTTGCAATTGTTTCTAGTTTTTTTTTTTTTTTTTTATTTTTGTTCATTGAGGTGAATCAGAAAGGATAATTTTCGTTTGTCATAAGGGTCATGAAGATATGAGGATGTAGAACGTCATGATGAAGATGATGTCATTGATGCTGGTGATGGTAATGATGATGATGATGATGGTAATGATGATGATGGTGGTAATAATGATGATGATGATGAGTGATGATCGTGATGATAATGAGATGATGGTGATGGTGAGGATTAAATCGCGGAAGGTGATGATGATACTGGCCAATGACGTTAATGATAACTAGTAATGTTCAGTTGATGATTATGAAGATGAAAAAAGATGACTGATGGTGGCGATGATGATGATGATAATAATGGTAGTGACAATACTGATGATAATGGTCAAGATCATAACGATTATGATGCATGGTCATAGCGGGAGATGATGGTGGCGATGATGATGATGACAATATCATATTCTAACGATCGTGTTTATTCAAACTATCATTCTATCCTTGATTATTCTGCAACACACTTCGAGATAGCGTAGGCGGACTGTACATCCGCGGCCGGTAGAGTATTTCCTATATTTATCTTCCACATCTCTATTAATGACGCTATAGTTATATCCTTCACATCCTCATCCCCTGATGTCGATGTTTATCTCCAAGACCCATCATAAGTTAATGCACGTTATTTAGGCTGAACTATTAGGATATCAACTAACTGACGTAAAGGGAGGATATGTAAAGATCGACAGTGGGGGTGGTCACGAGTACTGCGCTGGTTGAGTAAGCCTTGTGAAGATAATCCTCCTTATATATTAATCTCTTCTATAGCATCCTTTTTACGTCTCATGGTAGTTTCGTTATCATTTTATCACCTAAGGTAGGCATTTCTTTCTCTCGCGGACCCAGAAGAATGGAAGTTAAAATTATTTCCTTGAAAGGTAAATAAACATTAATGGTTGAAATCTTAGTTGTGAAGTATTGATATTGGTTGGTGTGAACGGTTTGATTGTTGACATGTGTCGGCTGTTGGTCGAAATGTAATAAACAAACACGACCACGTTGACAGCCATGGTTTCTACTTTCCGGTCTTGGATATTTGTCCTCTAATATATGCTCTTCGTATTTTTCTTTTCGCACAGACAACGCTTTAAACTAGACGAAACATCACTAGTTCTCTGTGTTTTCAGATGATAGTATCAAACGAACGACGTTCTTAGGCGCTAATATGAAACGTTTTGAAGAAACTCTTCGATGAATTGAGTCGAAATCAAAAGACAATGGGTAACAAGAACTGTACAGCTTGGAACTCGATTCTCTTTCCCGAGAATGAAGAAGAAGAGCGATTAAATGAATGGTTGAAGAGTACTACCAGCTCGCCGATGACTTGGGAGTACACACCATCATTCCCATCTGGCGCTGACATCTTACCAGTTCAACCTGTTTATAAACCTGACGTACGAGAACTCCGATTCAGACATGAAAACGAGAAAGATAAATTGAGGAAAGACAGAGATTCTAGAGGTAAAGGTAGTGAAAATGATGTCGAGGAAGTTGGTAATGGGCAAACATTGATGAATGGAAGTGATACTAATAGAAATTTTACAAAGTTGGAGAAAAAGGAGAATACAAAAACACACGACGAAAGAGAGACAGACACGTCGAGAAAACAGGTATTTAACTTCATCGTTTTCATTTCTTTGGTTTTTCTTTCTTTGAAGTCAATAACGAAGATCTTAGTTTCGTATATAGAGCATGGATTATACATCGTTCTCATAATGGTTGACGAGCGCGCACGAAAATGAAGCCAGCCAGTCATCTTGTAAGGCTGAGCAAGGCGGCTCATTCTCAATAAAAGTAGATAGCGCGAATTCAGGTCAAAATGAAAGGGCAATTCCTTATACTATAAAATGCATGCATTTCATGAGCTTTAAATATCTTTTATTGTGAACTAATGACCGAGTGACCTCGTTTCTGTGCACTTGTCAGCCATTATAAAACCGGTGTATGTTTCGTGGATTTCTAGCGCTTTTCGCGACAACAAAGCCAACCACTAGCACCGGGAGAGTGGGGCACCATAAGTTATGGTTCATTGATTGATTGATGCATAACATATAACATATCTAGAATCCCAAGAGACGCTTCCCAACAGGTCGAGTGTACATCTCTATATCACATGACCCCATCACTAGAAGAATCAAAGTGGCGGTCATCAAAGCCAAGAATCTAAGTTGCAAGCAAATAGGACCGAAAGATAATTGTGGGATAAACTGCGCAGGTATGAAGAACATTAGCTTGCTTTTCACTTTCGATGGAATAAAAGCCAAAAGCTAGCAGTTCGTATGCGAAATCGCAAGTGAAACACTAGTCTGAGAGCATTTGCAAACAAACTGTTGGTTAGCGACATATTTCTTGTTATAGACTCCCAGCAACGTACATAGATATATGTACTATATTGTTATTGGTTAATCTGTACCCGCATTCTTACGCGCCCTCTCATTGGCTGCTTACCGTCACTCGAGCCAGACTGACCTGTATACTAATTCTATCTATTTTCTACAGCATCTTACATGGATGTTTCTCTGTACGAGGGTGATCAAGTATGGCAATCCTTCACTACAGCCATCAAGAAAGGATATTCACAGGTCCTATATTACGAGAATTTTGCCTTTGATACAAACAATCTGAACTTGAGAGAGGTATCATTAGTGATAACAGCAAGACACAGCCATAAACAACACTTCATTAAACATAGCCATGATATTGGTAAAATAATACTTCAAGCACAAATGAATGATGACACTATGATCGATAGCCACCTTGTAGAGGCTGTAGTAAAGCCAGGAATTACATTGTATAAGTGGCACACGTTATGGAGTTGAATGGTAAGATAGCTAGATACAGAGATATAGTACACCCAGGACATACATGATATAGGTGATACACGTTATGGAGTTGAATAATAAGATAG